TCTAATCAAGTTTTTTGGCGTGATTATTATAATGTTATTATGTTTCAGAAACATTTATTTATTTTATTATTAAAAAGAATTTTAATGCAATTATACTGTTATTTGAAATGAAAAAAACTTATTTAGTTTAATTGCTTTGTAAATTATATTATGAAAACGTAAGCAGGGGAAAAACTCATATTAGAGTTTTTTTTTAAATGTTAATCTTTTTATTTAAAAATATAAAATGCTAAGCGTTTCATATTTTAATCCAATCAAAACATGCATTTTACATTTTAATCCAATTATAACATATTCTATATTTCATCAATGTGAGTTTGAATTAAGCATATTCATTGACTAAAATAAATTTATAATGTGTTTTAAAAATTGTACTTTAAATGTTGGTTTTTCTAAGCGACATTAATAACATAACAAATTTTATTGTCATAATTAACATCATAGTTGTCATAACAAATTTTTATCACAAAACAGCAAGGCAATAAGTAATAAAGAATTATTTTATTTTAATTTTTTAAATACTAATATATAATTGTTTTAAATTGAGTTTGGGCCAAATATTGGGGGCCATACACCGGTATGGCCCCCAATATTCTGACTGGATATGTCACTGGTAAAACAACTTCATGACACTGTTTTATTGCTGTTTTATGCAGTTTATAACCTTAATAGCATATGTTTTTAAAATATAACAAGGTAAATAAAGAGAATTGCTCTAATTAATAAATTAAAACATCTTCAAAAAACTTTACATTTGCGCAAAAACATACCCATAGACCATATGAGTCTGTAATCTAATCTATAGACTAAACAAATAAGATCAAAGCAAAAAAATGTTAGATACCACGTTTTTGATAATTTATTGTTTCTTGATTTAGCGTATTATTACTATTAAAAATTTAATTATAATAAAGTTTTTAATTCAAATGATTTTTAAATTGATATTTTTATTCAAATTGTTTTTCGATAAAAAGCTAAATAAAAAAAGTTTAGTTTAATAAATCGAATTATATTTTCTTAAGTTTAAGAATATGCTTAAATATTATATATATATATATATTATATATATATATATATATATATATATATATATATATATATATATATATATATATATATATATATATATATATATATATATACAAATAGTATTGCGTACTTTGGTAAGCAATCTGACGTCATACTGAAATGGGCGGCTGCTGGGGGCTTCAGTACATACATCGACTGACAAATAGCCTGACTCGCAGTGGAGTGCTGCTACATCGACTGAGGGTTTGGGGATAGGGAAGCAATCGTTTTATTCATCATTCTTTGTTTTTTTCTTATTCTTTTTTGAAAAAAACGGTATACCTTAAAGTAAGCACAAAAAGTGAGCAAATGCTTTTCAAAACACGCTTTAGTAAGTGTACATGTATATATATATATATATATATATATATATATATATATATATATATATATATATATATATATATATATATATATATATATATAGGAAAGAAATATGTTGGTTTGAAATGGTTCTAACTGAAATTTTTGTTTAAGGAAAATTTAATTTTTTTTTTTTAATGTTTGATTGAAATTATTTGATTGATATATAAAAATACAAAAATAATTAATCATATAAATGTTTTTATTTAGATATTTAAAAAAAAAAAATGCATTTAGCCTGTTTATACAGGCTTGGTCGGGAAGCAGGATGGATTGCTCTCAATTGCTGACCACGTAAATAATATTTAGTTATGAAAAGCTGGCCATATTTTTTAGTTGTTTTGAGAAAAAAAAAGTGCAAAAGAAAAAAAAAGCGCTAAAGATTAATTGGACCGATGAGAGGCAATTACAAAAAAAAAAAATTAGGCAAATAAAATATCTTTAAACACGAAAAAACTTAAAGCTAAATAAATTAGGCTTAGAACAAATGTTTTTGAAACATTGCTTTTTTATATTTTTTTTTTATAAAATTAAGCAATGTTTTTTATAAAAAGTAACAAGTTACGATTGATTAAAAAGGAAACAAATATTATTTATTTAACAAAGTTTGCAAGTTTAAGTTTAATTTAAGCTAAATTATTTTATAAATAAAAAAGTTAATTTTTTTAATACCTATTTTATGTTTTGCATAGTTTGAAAAGTTTAACAAATTTGAAGCAATTCTTCTTAGTAAGATAAACAAATGAAATAATTAAATCATTGAATTACTATAGAAATTAAATTAACAAGATAGAAATCAACTAAAAAAGTTAAAAATACTTTATGATGAGGAAGTGAAACTGCTTCACAATATTGCTGATGATGTTTAGTGAGTGGGCTTTTCAATTTTAATTAATGTTTAAAGCAGAAAAAAGTATAGTTTTAAGAATGGCAACTTAAGCAAAAATAATTAGAGTTACTAAACCAATATCTAGAAACTTTTCTTTATATCTAATTATTTGCTTTATATATTTGTGTTCTGTCGTGACCTCAGGCGCGGTGCCTGTTCATTCGCGATTTACTTTGTATGCGTTGTTTGTGTTTAGTAACCAGAAACTTCTTATATGTTTGTTACATAATTAGTTTTATTAACTTTAACAATTATATCTTCATTGAAAATGCAATTGTTTTTGTAAGTCTTTGTTTAAATCATAAAAATTGCTTTACATACATACATTAGATACATTACAATAAAAAACAGATACACAAAATTACATTTACATTAGAATACATACTTTTTAAATAAAAAATAAGAATATACTAATAAAATCCATAATTTATAATAAACCTTTAAACTTTTGACAATTTAATATATATTTAAAACATTTATTTTTGTAAACAGATGATATATATTCTTAAAACAATTTATGCTAGAAATCTCAAAACGTAACAAATTGTGGGTAATACAATTTCTAAAACATTTCAACAGAATACTCCAGAACTTTATTTCGCTTAGTCAGCATATTTTTTGAACCAATAGAATTAGTTTGTTCGGTAATTTGGCGGGTTTTTAGTGTTCGCGAATATTCTTTTTATTTTCCGCAAAAAGATGTTTTGAAAAGTTTCAAATTTTTTATTTTTCCATGTATGTCCTTAAAACAAAATTTTTTTGTTTCGTATAGAAACTTAAATGTTCTCAAAACGACTAAAAAACCTGGCCAGTTTTTTGCAACTAAATATAATTTCAGTGCTCAGTATTCGAGAGCAATCGCTCCGGCTCCTGACCAAGCCTGTTTATAATTTTTTTCAGCATGTATTTAATTATCTGAAGAGTCATGGTCAAGCTTTCAAAAAAACAATTTTATGCGTGGTCAATAGTGCAATTACATGCTTTTCCTGTCCATGACAAGAAAGTGTGATTGACTGTGACACTTTTACTTTTAGTTGATATTTTGGCTCATATAGTGAGAGCCATTATCAAGCTAATAAAACTGTAATGACTCTCACTATATGAGCCAAAATATCACAAATAAAAAAAAATAGTAATAAATAGTATGATACCATATATGATGTTTTAATGCTTATAATACACACACACACACACACACACACACACACACACACACACACACACACACACACACACACACATATATATATATATATATATATATATATATATTTATATATATATATATATATATATATATATATATATATATATATATATATATATATATATATATATATATATTTCTGTAGAATCAATGTATATTTTAATGCTCATTAAGGTAATAACTATTATTTCATTTATTTTACAAAAAAAAGCTCCAAAACACCTGTTGACATAATGGGTGCATCAATGGGTTGACATAATCACCAAAAATATTTCTCTCTACAAGTATACCAAGTTGGATCTCAAAAGAAGCTTGGTATCATCAAAATATCATCAAAATTTTTTTAAAAAATTGAATTTTTAAATGAAAATTGGTTTTTTCAAAATTTATTGTAAAAAAACAAGCATTTTTAAACAAAAATTAAAAAAAAAGCACTTTTAAAGATGTTTTTTTTTAACAATACCTTTTCTAAGAAGTTGACATTTGAAAAAGATTATTATTATGTAAAGCAATTTTTATGATTTAAACAAAGACTTACAAAAACAATTGCATTTTCAATGAAGATATAATTGTTAAAGTTATTTATTAAATCTAAAATTTCACTTGTTTGTTGAGGTTTTGTAAACATAATTGGACCTGCTCTTGCAGCCAACCTTCAACCTGTCACATCGTCGTAATGTTGCTTCTCTTTCTCTTTTTTACAAATACTATAATGGGCACTGCTCTAAAGAGCTAGCGTCTCTTGTGTTATCTACTAAAATTCATTCTCGTGTTACTCATCATTCAATTAAGTCTCATCCTTTTTCTGTTACTGTTTCTAAGTGCTCCAAAAACTCTTACTTATCTAGTTTTTTTCCTCAAACATCAGTTCTTTGGAATTCGCTTTCTTCATCTTGCTTTCCCGATTCATATAATTTGCAATCTTTTAAGTTGTCTGTCAACCGTTATTTTGCTCTACAATCTTCATCTTTTCTCTTCCTGTAACTTTCAACACTAATTAGTGGTTGCTTGCAGCCTTGTTGGAAGCGAAGATGTTAAAAAAAAAAAAAAAAAAAAGTTTAGGATTTTAGTGATAACCCTAATAGACATGTTTTTAACAAAGCTGTAAACAGATATGCTATCATTAAAGCTGTTAACAAAAATGTTAATTAACAAGCACAATAGCTGTAAGTAGACATTTTCACAAAAAGGTTTAAAGTGTTTTGCTAGTTAGGTTTTTCAAACATTCAAGTTATTGAGATTTCATATACTTATATATAAGTGTTTTGCAATTACTTTTATGTTTTGCAATTATTTTTTAATTTTTTAAGGGCCACTTTTAAATTGCTTTATCGTACATTTATTTATAAATATATATTTAGTCTTTTTTTTGTGTGGAAGTTTTTATTTTTTATTACTTTTTGTTACTTTTTTATTACTTTTTTTGTTTTTTTGTATTTGGCTAATAAAATATTATCAAATTTTTTTTTTAAGGAAATCCTATAAGACTTAACCAATCAGAATATGAATGTGGTCGTCGTGGATTCTTCAATTTACTAACTCTATACTTTGTTGTAAGCGAATATGAAACATTTTATGTAAAATTTGTAAACATGGATCTAAATTTCAATCTCTCAACTTCAGTCCTAATGTTGACCTCTGATAGAAATCAAATAATTAATGATTATACTACTGTTGGATTTGGTAATGGAGCAACTTATCATTATTCTGTTAATTTCTTTAGAAATTTAACTTGCAAGTTTTTGGTATGTATGACTTACTTTTACTTTATTTGTTTTCAAGTGTTTGGTTTTTTTTGAAATCCATTCATGAATAAAAGCATGGAATCTTTAATTGAATGAATAGAAATATTAATATTTTTGGATTATCTTTAATTTTAGATGATGTCGCATATCCACTTCTGGATTGTCCTTTATTCTGAGTATTTGTAAAAAAACTTCATTTAAAAACAAAGTACCTTTGTTTTTAAATGAATGCTCAAAACTCATTATAACTTTATAATTTAATAAACTCTCATAGTAATCTTTGTAATTTAACAAAGATTTAAAATGTATTCTAAGTTTCATTTAATCCCTTTTAATCTGACAATGTAAATCACTTTTACAATAATTTATGGTGTATGCAGCCAATAAATAAAATACTAAACCAAATGCAAAATAGTTAATAATAGTTAAATTAGCCAGGCCCTAAACAATAGTGCAGTAGTGGTGAATGGTAGAGCGTTCGCCTTATAAGCGAGAAGTTACAAGTTCAATTCCCAACACGTCCCAGGTAGTACCAGGGACGTGTTGCAATGGCTTTCGTGGCTTTGGGGAGATGACTTAACATATAAAAAATGCACGTGCTTAAGTTTAAACATATTTAGTTTTAAAAACAGTTGTTTAACTTACACCTGTTCTAGCATATAATAGTCAACAGTAATTCTTCAACCAGTATTATCATTAATCTTTGCTATTCTTTCACAGTTTGTATTAAACTATTTTATCCTATAATTTTCTCTACATTGTTAAATATAAGAGTTAAAAAAATGTACAAATTTCTATTTTTTATTATTTGTACTCAAAACATGTGTCAGTACCGTAGATGGGGGTAACTAAAGCCTACGGGAAAACTAAAGCCATTATAGCAGGTAATTTTTGGATGGTGATAGTGGCAGCACTGTTTGGATTCAACAGCTGATGTTGTGTTCTTCTAATAGAAACTTGGACTGCTTTCCAAATACTTGTCTGGATTATTAAAACAATATCACGGTAAGTGTACAGTAAAACTATATATTTAACCTAAAAATCGATAAAAAAGTTACCTTGCATAACTTCTGCTCTGAACAAATCATTTTTAATCTTAAATTCTCATAACTCTCAACAAACATAACCTCAATTTATGTTTCATCACACCTTTAAAGGTTATAACCTATAACTTGATTCTTTCTTTTGTTGTGATGTTTTTTTTTTCAGTGATACACAACATGGGGTAACTAAAGCCACATCATAAAGGTGGCTTTTGTTACCCCATACTTTATAATAAGTCAAAATTCCTTAAGTAATAAATTTTTTCTCTTTTTTAGGACTAAAAATGCCTCGAAACCCAAAGAAGAAGCTTGGTAGCCGGAAGTAAGTAAGCCGGATTACACAGATGAAACGCTGAAAATAGCTGTAGAAGAAGTGAAGAAAGGGTCATCTTTAAGAAAGATTGGTGAGAAACTTGCTATATCAAGATTTGCTCTCACTGCTGCCCTGAAAGGTAAGGTTAACAAATGTGGTAGGCCTCCAGTTCTTAATTCTGAAGAAGAAAGAAGATTAGTTGAATCTATAGTCATTCTTAGAACTTGTTTTGAGAAGAACGAAGTTACAGTAAAGTTTTTCAGAAGAAGCTCCAAATCAAAAGGAAATGACTATATATTTCCAAATGTTGATGACGAAATGGACATTCAGTTAACAGATGTCATTTCAATTGTGAAACCATCCAAAGTAAACAGAGGACGTTATACTTTTCCTTATGAACTACCGGTAAAGCACTGATTTCAACAAGACCTATTTTAAATAATATTTTTGTCTTTTTTTAATGTTTTTCTTAAATAATAAAGCTTTTTTCTTGTCAATAGTGGTTCGTTATTGTTACAAATGCATGATTTATGGATTTAGTTACCCTAGCACTCTCTAACTAAAGCCAAACATTGCTTTTTAATGGATGGCTTTTGTTACCCCTTTTCCAGGGGTAACTAAAGCCACCATGTTTTCAATTTTTTTTATTAAAAAAATTTCTGCAATTTATGAATATATTTCTTTAATATATGACCACAGACCCAAGTTTTGCAATATTTATTTAACCTATAAATTAAAGGGTCTGACTTGGGCAGAAGTTTGAATTTCGAAAGTGGCTTTAGTTACCCCCATCTACGGTATATAATCAATTATATAAATTATTATTCACATGGTAAAAATTAAATCGGTTATTCAGTTTAAATTACAAAACAGTTTTCTGTTTTGGTCAAGCAATGAATAGAAAGTTATGAAATCATTACTTCTAACAGATAGAATGGAATGTTAACTATTTTTAAAACGTTTCATCCCAATTAGAATAGAAAATTTAAATTAAAAAATTAAAACTTGATTGAATTTTGAGATATTGTTTGTATTTATATGTTTTTGAAACATTGTTTTTATTTAATATTAAAGCTGCAGTAGCATATTTTTTCCGATAGACAGACAAATTTATACATACATTCATACATACATACATATATATATATATATATATATATATATATATATATATATATATATATATATATATATATATATATATATATATATATATATATATATATATATATATATATATATATTAGGGTGGGTCAAAAAATTTTTTTTTTTTTGTTACAGGCTCTAAACATTGCTAATAGTTATTAATATTGATACTATCAAATATGAGAATAATTGTGATAGATTTAAAGGGCGCAATTTTATTGGGAAATTACCGGTACCCTAATATTTTGGAGAAAAAAAGTTTTCAAAAGTAGGTCAACCTGGTACTCAAAAGAAGCGAAATTTTATGAAAAATTCGAAAATAATAATCGTTTTATAAAAATTATATTGCTTAAAAAAATTGGCATTATAAAACATGTAAAAATGCACCTTTTTCACTTTTAGTTTAAAAACTATAGTTATTATGCAATAAAATCTAAAATAATAATTTTTATATGAAAACATTATTATTTATGAAATTTTTATAAAATTTCGCTTTATTTGAGTACCTACATCGCATAATTTTGAAAAACTTTTTTTTTTGAATAATAATAGGGCCTGCTAATTTTTGTAATTATAGTTGCGGGTGGAAGACATTGTTCAATCCATAAAAGTAAATACTTTCCTAAATTAGTACATTAAAAAACAACTTTCTAGCAATGTTTAGAGCCTGTAACAAGAAAAAAAATTTTTATGACCCACCCTAATTTATATATATATATATATATATATATATATATATATATATATATATATATATATATATATATATATATATTTATCACCCAAATTACAGGTGAAAATAAATAAAGTGTATAAAACTAACAGTTTATACTTTCATTCTAAAGTCTGATTTTAATTCTTGAAATATTTTCCTCCATTAGATTGTAAATATTATTCTTAGTTCTCTGATATTCTAAAATTCAAAGAAAAGGTCCAAAATTGCCGCTATATTGTGTCCTACATCGTAGCGACGCTTAATCTTTTTTTCCCCTCTATCTAACACTATAGAAGTATAGCTCAAGTTAATTGCACATTTTTATTACTTCATTGATAAATATGTTATCGTTAATCACATCAGATATCTGAGTCAAAATCAGGGAAAAACAAGTTGGATTGTTCAGTAGTCTGATAAGCAGATATAGTTTGTTTCGAATGAGAATGGTGGATATGTCATCAGTTTATAAGAAGAGAAGCAGGTAGTTTTTGCAGTACTTTAATATATTTAAGAGAAATTTTAATGCTGAACTTCCAACATCGTCTAATTTATTATGAAGTAAAATATTATAACAACAAATTTCTGAGCCATATGATAGATTTGGTACAGCCAGATTATTGAACAAATGCACTATTGTTAATGGTTGGCAAAAATAAATACCAGATTTTATACCTAAAAATTAACTAAAAAAGTTTTTTTGTCTGATTTCCCAGACTTTTCATGAAAAAAATTCAAACAAAAAACTGTCCACCTTTTCCCTTATACGCACTGGTACATTTTTGAGTGACCTCATCCCCATACTTGCAAACATAATTTATGGATGGCTCCATGGCAACTAATTTCCAACTCTAAATATCGCTCTCCAAGACTTAATTCCAAGTGCGCATAATATTGCTCATTGATAACCTGTTTCAGTATTATTAATCGCATGCACTGTATGTATGTATATATATATATATATATATATATATATATATATATATATATATATATATATATATATATATATATATATATATATATACATATTAGTCTGGTTGCAAAATGTAAAAAAAAAAAGGAAAACTAAACATTTTGAGTGAACATTCTGATTTTTACATACACTTGTTCCTTATAACTTAAGAAGTTTAAAAATTTTTACGTGCCACTTAGAAAATGCTTATAACTTAATTTAGAGACAAAAATTGATGCAGCTTATTGAAAAGATTTCAAGCATGATATATCCGCCATGTTTATAAATCCAATACTGCAAAGCATTAATTTAGTTTTGACAAATTATTGATAGGGGGGGTAATTGTTTGTAAAATTAGATGTTTTAAATGCAATTACTCAAATCTATGTAACCAAAACTTCATAAACCTTATTTTAAAAAAAATTTGTTTATAATTTTTTTTAAATATTGTATTAAAAATATGAAATAATTTTAATTTAATAAATCTAAGAAATAAAAAAATGTTCCCGTTCTTTGCTTACGTTAAAAAATGTTTACTTTTCAAAAACTGTTTACTTTTTTTTATTTTCTTTTTAAAAGTAAAGAATTACCGTCATAAATACAAGAAAAAAATCAAAGTCATTTTTATAAATAAAATAAAATATTTGCATAACAAACTGCAACCATTTTAAAAGAAACCGTTGTTGCAAAAATCTAAAACAACTTATTATTATTAAACTATATAATGGCGAGTAGCCAAAAAATGCAGCATTTTAATCTGGTTCCTAAATAAGAAATTAAAAATGCTTGTATACTTCATCATGGTGAAGTTGGTCATAATAATAACAAATT